GCCTTGTTGGATTAGTGTACCGAGATAAGAAGGAAAACGTAATGGCTCCGTGTAAAATGCAATAATTGCGCCGCGATCGCGCAATGCTCAATGGGAACGCGGAACGCATTCGTAGAAACGGTTACAGCTCGTCGATGCGAAATCATGGTTGCTAGGGAGGTCAGGGGGGTCGGATATCGATCATTTAAATTATTCAAATTGTTGCTCGCGATCTGGCGTGACCGAGGACCGACTTCTTCAGCGGGAAGTGCATTTTTACATTTCGCGACGAATTTATGCGTTTAGGATCGTTGTTATCGCTAGAATCCCTTATCTTTTAAACAGACAACAAAATATAAATAAAAAATGTATACACGAATATAAATCTAATTAATTCGAAGAATTGCGTGATATTTGATAATTATCTTTACGGATTTATGTCTTAATACAAGTATGTAATGAAAACGTTGGTCGTAAATATTCTAAACAGTGCAATTACGGCAGATTTTCGGGAAATGTAATTGGCTCCTCGGCCACAATTGGACGGGAAGCGTTTAAGATCACAAAAACGGTTTTGCTGTTTGCAGAGAATTCGCGCATACAGCTATCCCGTTTCGCTTTCGTGCAACTGCAACGAGCACTTCGGACTGAATGAGGTGCACTTTCATCGGCTAATCCGTCTCGTCGGCTGTTTGAAGCCGGTCTCGTCCCGTTTCAATGATTCAAAAGCGTCACAAAGAACCGTGACACAACGTTTGTTCCGTTTCGGCGACAATTGGCACTAGCTGGGCCTCGGGGCTCGGTTCAATCTCCGAATAACGACGAATTGTTTATTAGTTTCGAACGGCGAATTAATCACGAATTTTCAATTTATAACATACTTGTTAGAAATCAAAGCTAAAACTTTGAAAAAGAAAAAGGAGAAAGATGTCGAATGTGAGAATGGGGCATCGAGAGAAGTTAAATTGAAAATGGCGGAAACAATGGCGCCAAGGTCGAGATGGCGGTAGCTGAGGGCAACCAGGAGGAGAAGACTTATAAATTTGATAATCCTTGTTACAAGGATTCAGCACTTTCAATTGCACTCGCAGATAAGGAGAATGAAACGGGTTGGAAAAAATTCGTTTAAAAAACAGATAATTGGTATGGTCTCGGTATCGCTGCCATATTATTATGTTAAACTGTGACTGGATCGAACGTAAATGGACGCGCGCTGATACATTCGCCCACGATCGCGGTGATTAATCTTAATTATCGAAGCATAACCGAGATTGATAACAAACAAGGATTGAACGATCAAACGCAGCAATATGTCTGGTAGCAAATTGCTTCCGGTATTAATTAAAATTCTTCTTCTCATTCCGTCGTCGAGGCTCGCTATAAATCTAACGTTTATCGCTGAAACGAATTATTATTTACAGTCGTGACAAATTTATTGTTGTCGGGAGGGGAGAGTCTCTATCAATATTTATTTTTAAAAATGAACTGGTTGGCTGACTGGTCGCATCGCGATACCAACGAATCAAATTTAATTAATATTTTCGTGTATTCTTATCGTTATCTGCGTTTCAATTCCATTTTTAATGTATCGGTTGCTGTAAATGTGGCTGGAATTGTTTCCACGCGTCTAATTTTACTTAGAAAATTGCTCACAGCTTTTTCAAACGAATCTGTCAACGAATTAGTAGTTCGCAGTATCGCGGATCTATGCGTTTCTACACAAATCAGGTCAATGTATCCGATAACTTTCAGTTTCGGTGACCCGCTTATCTGCCCTCAGAAAGATACGTAACGAAGATTCGTCATATTTTTATGACAAACGTAATATTTCAATGAATTTCTGCGAAATAAAATAAACAATTCTATGAATTAGTACATCCGAGACTTCGTAAAAAAATACATGTTAGAATCAATGCTTTAATAAATAAGTAAATGAAGAACAAAATAATTCAAAATTTGGCAAAATAAATTTGCAATGTTGGTAAACGCGAATCGAAAAGTCTAGGCATTACGTTTCATAGCGTGACGTTGACCACGAACCTCGAGTATGTAGTACAGTGAAAGTGAGATGAGAAGGCAATAATCCGCGTAACATTGACCTCGTAAACGGTTGAATTAGTCGACGAATAAAAAGACTATTAAAATTTCGCAAGGCACAGGCGATTAGCCAGCTATTATACAACGTATCCGGCAATTTCAACACTTGTTGCCTTTATCAGTGAATTAATTGAAAGAGTAAATTAAGGATTAAAGTGAACGGGAAAAGAAGTACACGAGGAGTACATATATAGGTTGCATATATAGTTTGTCAAAGGCACGAGTGAGGGGTGGACAGTAGAGCAGTGCGTAGCGTAGCCGGCTACCACGCTGAGAACCTGGGTTCGAATCCCGGCCGTCCACCCAGGTTTTTCATGGTTGGGTTAGGATCGACTAACAAAGTAAAAAATATCGAAAATCCTATGGCGTAAGATATGTAATCGAAAAGAATAAAAAAGATAGTAAGGAAAAAAGATCTTGGTAAGATGATAAGTACCAGAAAAGTAAAAGTAAAGTATCAAAAATGGCATAAGATATGTAATCGAAAAGAATAAAAAAGATAGTAAGGAGAAAAGATCTTGGTAAGATAAAGTAACACCAGAAAAGTGCAAAAACGCAAAGGCGAAAAGTCAGTCGCCTCAAAGTTCGCACTATAAACACACCAAACCAACCAAGGCACGAATGCCCTCTGTCGTGGTCGAAACCGCATCTGTCGATAAAAATCCAGTTCCGTTGTGGACCGAGTATAGGATTACTCATAGCGCAGTTCAAACACGCAGCAGTTAATGGAAATCTGGCGACACTGGATACTTTATAGCAGCTGTTGACCTTTCCTTTTTGCCTCGAAGCAGAGTTGGCCAACAAAAAAAAGCTAAACATAGAATTGTATAGAAGCAGTTGTCCTAGTAGTTCTGTAAATCTTAAAATTCTAGAAAGCTGGCAATAAACGATACGTTTATCTCGTTTCCTTCTTTGGAAAAAAGCCTAGGGTTTTGCCCCGCTTCGAAGCGATGAATCAGAACCTAACAGCACCGCGTTATCATTGCTTCAAATTTGATTTTGCTCGCGTGAAATTTCGCAAGAGCAGGTGTCTCGACGCGAAATATTTGTTCAGGTTGAGATTGTTCGACGCGAAACGAATCCTGACGGTCCGCAGATGTCCCACGAACCGACGGAACGCAAGAATTGCCCCATTGATCAAATTCCCGTGTAAACAGCGCGTGTACACAAGTTACTGAAATAAGGTCGGGTACGCTCTCGCGTTGAGTAATGAATCAAAACGAGATTAACCGACTGAATGAAACGGCAAACAACGTGATTCATCGAACAGGATTTCTCTGCGTAATGAATTTCGAGGAACGTCTAAGTTACGAAGCAAAAGTCAACAGAGGAAAACTCATCGTAAAATAAATATTAAGGAGTCTGAACTCGAAAGAAAGATAAAAATTTGAAGGTTAGTCATATTGCAGTGTCCAGAGCATTTCTACCAAGTAGAATTCTCTGAGGCGGTGCTTAGAACGGATAGGCCTTGATCAGAGACGTGTGAATCCTTAAAGTGTCCTGGTCCATTTGTAGGGGTCCACACGTCATCGATCAGAATCTTTTGGATTGTCCAGACTCCTCCGCTCGCAAGCTTGGATCGATTCTGAGAAACCCAATACTCACGAAATAGAGCTATATTTATCGAGTCGTCTACTGGGGAAACAATGAACACCCTTATCCTCAGCTCCGAGTCCAGAAGAAAGGGAGACCTTATGCTCGGCGCATTCCTGTTAGACGTAGGATCAAAGAGCACTCTAATACTCCTGATAAGTTCATCGTACATACAGAGTATCGACAATGGAATCCATTTTGAATCTAAAAGTAAAATATCATCTACAAGTTCTAACAATTATATTTTATTATCGTGTTACGACATAAATACGAGGAAGGCTGTTCTCTCTACCATTAATTTCTGTATCTTCGGCATCTGTTTCGACTTTTAATTAAAATCGAACGGCGTAAACCGTATCGTTAAATAACAGATCCTCGACGACGCTATTAAACGATAGACACCGTGGTAGAACCTGTTATTAGACGAAGTCGAACGGCGCGGAGCGTGGCTGTGCTGCTCATTTACATCATCCCGATATCTAATTATCACGCGGTTACTTAAGCACCCGCCAGCGTCGATAATAAAAGTCCCTCGGCCAGGAGAGCCTCGTTGCCCGTCGAGTATTTATCGTCCTCGCAAATGTTAAACGCATTAGGAATCCGCGCACGGCGTTTATTATTAATGGAACAATTAGCTTAGAGGGTGTTAAGATGCTATCGGTGTCTGTTTGACTCTTTAATCAGCGGGAGCAAACCAGACACGCTCGGCGCTCCTGCCTACCGGTGAATGTCAGCTACGCCGGGAGAGGTGTATCAGAGTCGCGTGTGTATTGAATAGCTTCGCTATGTGTTCATTTTCTGGGGATTGCAATAGTGGACCACCTGGTATTTAGGATTTTGTTAACAGGTACAGGTTTAGGATGACGTGACCCTGAAAGGACTAGGTAACCACGAATGTTAAGTTTCAGCTTGGTCTAGGTTAGCTTGGCCCACTTGGTAGTCAGGATTTCTAAGCAGGTTCATGTCAATTGGATCTGGGTCCTGAAGA